ATATGTAAACATAAGTAGCCGCAATTAATTAAAATGCCCCCGGCAGGGATCAAATAAAAGCAAACTGCAGATGGAAAATAATATTTACTAGATAGATTTACAATTATTTAGTGGAGGTTATTCATACTGTTATGTTTACAAATATCAGCTCGTTGGGAAACGTAGCAAGAATTTTAAGCCACAAGGCTAATCGCATTTCAGATATTGCTTTTATTTGCCAGACACAATATATTGGCTGCTCCAAAAGCTTTGCTGATATCGATTTTTGAAAACTGCTAATTGGTCAGAAATCGAAAAATGTGGAACCGAAATCAATCAAACTAATGGGCGCATTCATCAGCTGATTTCGATTGCCGATTTCTGATTATAAGTTATTCTCGATGTTTATTTTTCAAATTGTCACATTTATTTTTATTCGGTATTTGGCTTTAGCTATTAATTTATTGTTAATTTATTTTCGTAATTGATTGCCATTTTAAATACCTTAGTAGGTGCTGCCTTTTAAGGGTTTTAGAATGCACAGGGCGACAAAAACAATAAGTCGATGATGATCTAAGCATTTAAAAGCGTTTTAACAGATATAGGGAACTTTTGTTCAAATACCGAGCAGCTCACGGATTTGTGATGAATAGAAAATACGTGTGAATAATTAAATGCGATGCTAATTTCATGCAAAATATGCCCACAAACTCAACCAACCATCGCTACTTAAGAAAGAGGAATTTAATGAGCTCTTATGTTATTACAGCTGAAATAATGTTTATCCCATTTTTTACCAAGAAAACATTGATAGCCGCATTTGTAGCAAATGAAAATAAAACCAAAGGTAGCTCTTCTACCGATTAATCCACTTTTCGAGCTGCTGATTCCGAGTAATTCTTCATGATACACATGTCTGTCGTGCCTGCAGACGAACTTTGAGATCAATTGTTGAATTTCTATGGAAACTCAATTAATGCCATTTTCCAGACTTTGCCGGGCTGCTAATTATTTGCGCAAAACAAAAGAGCCATATAACACGTGCAGCTTTTGTTGGTCATATGTACATATATAAATATATGTACATATCAAGAGCTGTACTTGTATACATTTGTTTGTGCATATAGCGCCGGAAAATCGCTTTAAATCAGCAATTTCATGTGAATTACATTATGAGCAGTGAAGCACAATTATGATTGCCATACTCGTATAATGGAATCTATAGCGTAAGCCTTAATGTTAACAAGCTAGCTGGCTGGCCCAGCTAGAGAGAGTGTGTGTGTGTATGAGTGTGTATGAGTGTGTATGAGTGTGTATGAGTGTGTATGAGTGTGTGTGTGTGTGTGTATTTCCTTTACACAACAGCAACAACAACAATAACGCAATTACAATTGCGTTGCTTGGCCCATAATCATTCCAAACAGCACAAAAATTATGGCACATTTATAAATATATTTATACACATATGCATGGCTATAGCCATGGGCGTGGCAGTGGGGCGTGCAGATGATGGAACGGCAACATAAACGAGCAAATGAAATGAGCTTTTAATCAATTTCCGGTATTAAAGCGCAACCAATGGCGGCAGCAACCACAACAACAAGTTCAGTTCATGGCATTAATGTGAGGCCAGCCCCAAGTAGCAGTTGTTGTTGTTGCTGCTGCATTTAATTAACAAACAATTTATATTCATAAACCTCAATCGGTCACATGCAAATGCACATGGAAATGCCAGCAGCAACAACAAAAGCGGCAATAACAATCTCAGCAATCACAACAACAAGAACAACAACAGCAACAACAATTACAAAACCAACAATGCTGCGCTACAGCCACGCATAGAAAATGTAATAAATATTGCAAATGCGTGCGCAACAATAAAAATGTGTGGCAAGCTTTGAGGCAACGAGACATGCAACAAACACACACACATACATTTGAGTATTCACAACCAACTGAAATCGTGGCACTCAAAAGCGGAGAATTGTAAGCTGATGGGCTTTAGAGATGGGCACGTGAGAAATTTAAAATTAACTTCCAACTTTACAATAAAAAGAATAGATTTAAAAGATAACGGTACAAAAAAGCTGATATAAAAGCACCCAAAAACTATATTGTATGTGTTCAAAACGTTTTAAATTATTTAATTTTCATGAAATATGCAAGTAGAGTTTTTACAGAGGTGAGATCAAATTTTGGTTTAATGGGCGAATCTGATTTAAAACACATAATCACACATATCATATAATACGCATTATATTCTCAAGACCTTTGGGCTGGATTACTTTTGAATGTTAAAACCAAAATCTAAAACAAACCAACGAGATTGAACATTAGGCATACGGATATGGAATTAGGCTTTTTGTATAACATTTTTGTTTTAATATTTGCAAACCTAAAGATATTTGTGTTTTTATCATAAATTATAGATTTTGTTAACAATTTTTACACATTTTTCTTACTTTCAAAGACAATTTATCCCGTTCTAGAAATTGAGAAATTGTTTGTTCACCTCAATAATTCATTTTAAAAGTAAAGTCACATAACTGTGTCCGTCGCTAATAAATGGGGTTAGCATTGGATTGGGGCGTTTCGCTGGAGGGTTGGGTCTTCAAATGGATTGCAAAACGTTAACTCTGGTAGTCGACGGCAGTGCCAACAATGTGAGGCAATGTTGTTGTTGCTACTGTTGGTGGCATAAATACGCCACGTGTTGTCAACATATGTGTGCCCCGAACAGTGGCAGCAACCAGCATTCAAATTATGGCATCAGCTGCAGCGCCAGTTCATTTGCTGCTGCTCCTGACATTCATGTCATGGTTTATGGGCAAAAAATGATGTTACATGTAGAGAGTGTGGAAACAAATTGCCGGGGGCGGGGGGCATAACATTCCCGATTTGTAATTAACCTAGGGAGCTAAGCGAAATCATTAATTAAAGTTGGTGAAAAAACAGACGCACAAAACCAAAATTATTACACATAATGGCACATGGGAAATAAACGCAAAAGCTCTTGCCAACTAATTAGCATTTTGAAATATATGCAGGCAGTCAGGCAGGGCCAAAACACTCTGGGCCAGGCACCAGCACCAGCACAGGCACAGTTTTGTTGTTGTTGCTTTTTTTCTAGCAAAATTAAGCGTGAACATATAGTGAAGAGAAAACACAGCAGTGTGAACACTTAAATAGCAGCAAAAAGGGCAAACAACATTAAGAGGAAAGGTCAGGCAAGCAAGCAGCAAACAGCAAACAGCAACAGCAAATTAACAGACATAAACATTGCCAAGGCATTATAATATAGACATGGCGAGAAGTTCACGCTTAAGGCTGAGAGTCAACAACAACAACAACTACAACAAAAACAATAATAAACGCGACTACAAAACCACAGCAATTTTGCCTTCGCTTATTTCATGCTATGCCCAAAAACATGCTCTTAAAGTGTAGGTAGCCGCTAGATAGCTTTAGGTACTATTTGTACTACCCACTAAAAAAATGGATGCTGCCAAGAGCGGGAAAAAAGCACGTACAGCCACAGCCACAACAACAATGCAAAATTAATTGAGAAAATTGCAACTATTGTTTGGTTACAAAACAGACAAAATATATCACTGAGCGGAAGGCAGAGGAAAAACTAATAATAAATTCCGATATTTATTTAAAATAAAATATAGATAGGGTTGTATATGTGTCAGCTTTAATTTCAATATTTTTGAAACATTTTTTCAGCTTAATGGTGCTTGTAAAATATTTGTAATACAAACCATTTCACGCGTAAAGGATATATAAGAGAGGGAAGGTTTTCTTCGAAATTCAATGCAAAGGTAACGTTTTTTAGTCTAATATATAGAATAGTTGATCTTGACAGCCAAACAGAAGTAGTTAGGAAGGTGGAGACAAGTTAACTTGCAATACATAGACGGAAAACACAACTGCAATGTTTGTATGAAAAATATAAATTTTTCAACACATTAAATTTGTCAAATATAAGAAGATTTTTCGATTCATTTATTTTTATACAAATAATTAAAAAATCCACGATATTCCTAAGGGTATTATATTTTGTGAAATTTATTGATTTGTTCAATACAATTTCTACATCTTATTAATTTGATTATTTGTAGGCTCAATTATAAATTGGTTTATCGAATATTTTAAAAAATAAATTCTGAAATCTTCCATAACTATGAAAGTAATTCTCTTAATACAATGATCAAGATTGCAGAAAATGTTTCTTAATTCCACCAGCCACCAATTCAGCAATGCAGGTAGCTTACAGATTTTCATGAGCCTGTTCTCCACTACAGTAATCTACTATATAGAGTAGACAGACAATCGCAGCAAAGGACTGATCTCTATCTCCCTTTCTCTTTTAGCCAAAAATTATATTATTTTAGATTCATTTAAGATGTAGGATTCATTTATGGAAATATTTAACCATATCCATGGAAACAATAATATTTCAACTACATTTGAACTACAACTTGTTAAAAAAATAATTTTAAAACAATCCAGTTCTTATTCAACAGCATATAATATACCTATTTGGATCCCAAGTGCTGTCCTTTGTTTTACAACTTCCCTGTTAAATACTAAACACCAGTGTGTCATCCGATTTAATTTTTCAAAGTGAAATGGCCCGACAATGTTCCACTCAAATCTCTCAGCTTCGGCTCAAAAGAATGCAATTAATGAATCATTATCAAATAAACTAGGAAGGAACTGAGTACACAACAAGAACCAGAATGTTCACTAAAGATTTCATTTTTGTATATTTAAGAAAACTTTTAAAGACGTACAGTGCAATAACTAAGTAAACTTTGCACCTGCATTTATCTGAAAAGATTGTTATAGGCACGAGAACTGCCACGCTTTCTCTAACTGAGCAAAACACGCTTAACACCCTCTCTCTCATCTGCATTGTGAATGTTCTTGGCCGAAAATTAAATGCATTTCATCGCCGTTGCCATTGACATTGAAATTTGCGTGGCAATTTTTGTAATCAGTTTTGTTTGGTTCTCGTTGCCCGAAACGCGCAACGGGCACGTCGTGAAATTTTCGAACAGCTCTGTAAAAGTATCAAATTCAAAATACGAGTAAATACAATAATTTCAGTTGAAAAGCTGGCTATATGTTGAAAAGAAATTAATTTGGTAATTGCACTTAAATTGTATATTAAGAGAACACGCGCGCGCTTTATTTAATAATGAAAAAAAAGTGCTTACATAATTCAGGCGAAATGTTTTTGTATGTAATTATTTTCCAATGGAGATGGCACGTGAAATGCCTGGCAATCGTTTGTCGCTAATTGCGAAACAATTTGCGTTATTCGCAATTATTTATAACTTTTGTATAAAGTTCAAAATGTGCGTTTCGAGTTGTCTGTCGGAAGCAATTTGCACATTAAACGCACAGCTCTATAAATAGATGACGACAACAAAGACGGCAATGGCGTGGTATATGAACAGGGCGGCGTATACGTAATGTCCGATAGTGCTTGTGCGATACACTATATGCGACATAACATACGTACTATGCATATACTTGTATGGTGGTGCACTTAATGCCCCCACAGCCAATAATTCTCGCTTTAAGTGGGTCAGTGAGTGTGCAAAGAATGCCTCATATATAAGTATGTATATAGTGTGCAAATTGTGAAAGTGGAAAGCTAATGGCATAAAGAGCCGCTACCGACCGCCCAGAGAAAGCTTTACAACCTGTAGCAAACAGCGGGCCTATGCACACACGCCTATGCTTATGCAAATTTGATCAAAAGGTTGTCGGCTATAATAGTTTCACATCACGCATGTTCTGGCATTAACTGAGGGACCACCTGAGGCCCATTTGTGAAATTACATACGAGTGCTGGTCCTTTCAGTGCGAACATACCATATTGTAATATTTTATTAAAAGTACTGTTATTATGAGATCTGGAAAGACTGAAACAATAATCATAAAGTAGGGCACTTGATTTTCAAAGCTGGGACTGAACTTATACAATTTTATTTTTGATAAAGAAAATAATTTTGATACTGGCTGTGAATTGTTCATTCTAACCCATGTCTATAGCTACTCTCAAAAGTTAAAGGGTATACTAGAAATAACAGACAGTAGGACGCTTCGCTTACCACACTTTTTAGTTACATATGTATATATGAACAGCTGAACGATATGAATCGATATAGATATGTCCGTCTGTCCTTCGATCTACGACATATTAACTTATTGGATCTGGACTTTCATTTCACTCAGTGAGTGCTCTACATACATATATCATATAGGAACGATCAGTGCAAAATCTATTTTCGTACCAAAAACATTACTTTATTGTATTATGTATAATAATAATAACTGGTAAGTTTTTTAATGTGCCTCTTTATAGCCTGAAGTTTTATCGAAATCGATATGATTGATGCATCAAAGTTTTTTAGTTTATTAGTTGTAGGAGAGAGAACGGTAGGTATAGGGTACTCAGCATTTTTTCAACATTTAGGCTTCAAAATAAATAAAGAAAGCTTCAATCCCTCTATATTCAATACACATTAAAACTAATTTATCAAGTAAATACATTACTAATTCTATTTAATTTCTATTTCTTCCAACCGCCACCAAAAATGGTAAACTAGCCGCCTTGACTAAATTAGTTTCCAGAAATTGTATTTCAATTAACAAAGCTTGGCCAACAAAAAAGTGGTCGTTAATGCCTAATGCAAACCAAATCAAACGCTCGATAAAAGCTAAATACTTAGCAGCCACAAATCCGATCGAATGTGAACAGGTTTTTTTTTTGGCTGCGGCTGTCAACCCTAAATGTACATATGAAGGCAGAGTGTCTCTGCCTACAAAGCCGCACATTAATCACGGGCAACATTTGCCATGCAATTAAGCAAATGAAGCTTGCATTTAAGTGCTATTTGCTTAGGGAAATTTAACGAAATCATTAGACTAATGTGGTTCGTTGACGGGCAGTGTTGACAGCCACACAAAGCGAACAAAAAAATTAAAACAGCCTCAAGTTCAAGTGAAGTTGATTGCTTAAATTTTTTTGTATAGAATCCATGCAATGCTCAAAGTCCCTGGGTAATTTGTTTGCCTAATTATACATGCATGTAATCAATTTTTTTGTGGCCATTAGAAAATCAATTAAAAATCATTTGATATGGCATTGGCGGCACACACCGACACAGGCACCTAAGTATGTAGCCGGAAATACGTAGTTGCGTGTGTCTATAAATGCGAACGTACAAATTTCATTTATGCGATACAAATACATCAAAAACGAATTACAATTAAAATGCAATTTTGTAATTGGAAATATAAACGGCACAAAAATCACATTTATCGGCAGCAACACAAACGACGTCAACCATAAAAATCAATAGTAATTTTGTTCACAGACATCGCTGCTGCTCAGAGTCTACAATTCAATCAGACAACGTCGCCGTCATCGTTGCTGTTGTTGATGTTGTTGTTGTTGCTTTTGTTGCCGCCGCTGGCCTTTTATGAAAATGTTGGCACTGCACTTAAATGCTGAGCTGATGTGTTACCGCTCTGCCTTCCCCTCCCACATCGGCCAAATGCAACTGTCAAAGTAGAATGCCATAATTAAATTATAAATAATGTTTTACAAAAATAAATAACTGCTTATTGGCGCAGCAGACGCATTTTGCAACAACAACAACAGCAGCAACAAAACTGGGAAAACAACTGAAAACAGAATTCACAAAAGAGGTTAAAATATTACGCATACGCAGCGTGCGCAATTCCGCGCTCTTCGCCTCTTGAGTAAATAATGAAAGTAAAATTAAAATGCAATGAAAGGCAAATAAATGCGCATGCACACAGTTCACATACAAACACACACACACACACACACCCAAATATATATATGCACATGTATAAGTACATTCGTGTATTCAGAGAAAATACAGTGTACCAGGCATTTACACTTGGATTTAAATATATTTTTTGCACATGATTCTGTCACAATGCATATTTTACTTTTTCAAAAAAAAGAAGGGAGAAACGGCTGTGTACACTTGCATTTCCAATCGACCATAAACTTTGTGCACTCAGCGGTTTATTATTTTAATATCAACATGCAGACTCTTTAATTAAAGCTATGGTTCTGCATAATTTAAATATTATTCAATTTGTTTAAGTAGTGTGTACTCTCATTGGTTCTGTTTTATTATCTCTGCTTTTTTGTGTAAACTCTAAAAAAATGTTTTGTTTTGTTAAAAAGGGTATATTAGGTTCGTGCAAAGTATGTATCAGGCAGAGGGAGGTATGTTCGACCTCATATAGTTTATATATTCTTGATCAGCATGAGGAGAGAAATCGTCTATTTTTGTCTATTTGTCTATTTTGAAGCGGATGATTACACCTTAACAAATGCAGATATGCAGATACTTCCTTATACCTTAAGTTTAAAATTGCTTGTTTGACATAATAACATGTAACGTAAAGGGAAATCACACTTTTTCGACAATGTGATAAAGTTAAGTTACTTTGAACAAATTTGTGTACGTCCCTAGGCATTCCATAACACCTTACAAGCAGCACTACATTCGTCTCATCCCGCTAATTGAATTTGCAATAGACTTAATTGGACTAATTAATTAAAATACACTTCTAATTCAATGTTTTTCAAATCGATTTTTCTTGAAGTGCATTTGTCAGCAATGCTCAGCACAACACACTGTAATTCGCTGTAATTTTCGGCTCGAGTTTTTCATTACACGTTTTTCCTTTCATCGTCACAGCAGCAGGTTGTTGTAGTTGTTGTTGCCAGCTCGTTATATATACATAAACCTATATGTATGCAGTCGGACGTGAAGCGGCAATCACGTGTCGCAAACATGATTTATTTCGTCAATTTATGCCAAAAGTGTAAAACGATTTTCTACCGTGCGAAATGAAATATTATGACGTACACTATCATTTACATGTGTTTTCGACGAGATGTTCGTGGGGCGACGGGTCGGATGGGAAGTGAAAGTGGGAGGAAAAATGTTGGGTGATTTGTGCCGCAAACGTCGACATGCGTGCTTTGGGGTTAAAGCATATACCTTCGTACATATGCATGACTATGCGAGAGCATGTCTATCTATTGGTACGTATAGTACAGTATGCTGGCATTTACAATTTCGCAAAAGGGAAATTACATTTAAATTGAATTGTAAACCTAAAATAAACGCAAATTTTATGTATTCGCGACATTCCTCTCTCTAATGCAAACACTATACTTGTACTTGTATATACGAGTATGTCCGTGCGAGTGTGTGTTTGTATGTAGATTTGCTATTTTATGACAGACGTCGCAGCAATTTGTGTGAGTGTGAATGGGGTTAGGCACTTTGTGGCATGATGTGCTAATGAAATGTTGCATGGCATGCAATCCACTCACACACACTTATTCCCATACCAGGCTATGTTATGTTAGCTTTGGTATTTGGGACGCTAGGAAGTCGCTTATCAATCAACCAAATAAATATTGCATAACAAAGTGCCAATAGTTTGCCAAACTCTCTATATCTGTCAAAGATTTTGTGATGCAATCAAAGGTAACGTAAAAATTGTAATTGAAAGCAATTGGAAAAATAATATCAATTGGATTGTGTTGAAAAATTACTAAAATATGTTTTAGGAAAGAAGAAGTTGCACAAAAAAGTTACAACAAACAACGTTAAGGAAAAATTCTTATATAAACCAAGTTTTAAGTGTTAAGATTTTTAATAATATTGCATCAAATGGATTGTGTTTGAGAAATTTGAAAAATATCGTTGCTGGAGAAAACTGGTTGAGAAAAAATAAAAAAAGTATCTTTTTGTTAATTAAGCAGTAAGAAACTAAATTGGCAGTAGTTTTACGTTTTTTTTATGGCATAAATCAATGCCTTAAATGCTTAAGGTGACTTTTGGGAATAACTTGTAATGTAATGTGTGCTGTAAAATAATTATTAATTAATTAAGTAATTGACAAATTTTATTTATAGAAATTTCAACTGATAAGTACGCCATTAAAGATATACAAACATAAAAAATCTTTAATTCTTTCACTAATTTCTATGACTTTTGCAAATGAAAAGGATTTAATTAATTTAGTTATGCTAAATATTTGTTATATGCTATCCGTTTCTCTGCCTTTAAAT